GAATCACATGCTTTTGACTTATTATCACCTAGAAGATTGTAGGCGAATAATTTATCTGAATTCGATCAAACTCGTGAAACGCAATGAGATCATAACCGCCTAAATAAAGCGAAGGAATAAACCTGGGTGACAATCGGGAACGGTGCTTCTGGTTTACAAGTAGCAGCGCAATCTTGACAAGAACATTCTGATGAGCCAGGATACGGCGCCTCTGAGCAAGGAACTGCTCGTGTGCTCGGTGGATGCATCAGTTCACCATCGGATGATTTGTTTCGATCCAAAACGAAATCGATCGTGAACGGAACGCCGATATTCTCGTTATAGGTGCCCATGAAATTGAACCACTGTGTCACAGTGCATTCAGTCACACTCGCACCACACACCAAACTCAACGCATAGTCTGCACCGACCGCTCGAACCTTAAATAATTTCAATGAAATCAGATTCTCTTTTATGATCCCAATCAAGAATATTATTAAAATGCTATGGTGCATTCGATTACGAGAACAATTGAATTTTGTGATGATTCAATTTTGTGATATTAAAATGTTTTATCCTCTGGTTTGAATAGAATTTCAAGTATAAAATATGCACAATGCTCAGTGTTATCATAACAAACTTCCCTTGTTTCTCGAATTCGTTCTCATTCTGTCCTTTTTCAATCAGCTACTGAACAGTTGACAGTGAGGTAACGACGCGAGAAAGTGTTAAAATATGAATGTACTGCTAGTTTGTTATCAGTGAAGTGGTTATTGTTATCATCAACTTCTGCATCGCTATCACTTCTCTTATGATTCTGTTGTTATTGTTATCATTATCACAGTAATAGTCATCATAATAATTACCATGATAATTATCAATAATTATCACGACGCTTATCACGTCCACTACTGTACACATAGATCACTGTTAATTTTTAAACCACTATTACTAACGCAGTAAAAACATCACGACGAAAATGACTGCAAAATGAATTTGGACTTCATTTTTTCACACACAATCAATGCCACTAAAATGTCAGCATTGTTTAATTTCGA